AATTAGGGAATGAAAATCCCTTCTTTAACCTACAAAATTTCAAATGTAATATTTTCAACTAATATTACGTCAATTTTATGCTAAATTTACAATACCAACCTAAATATTTAAAACACATATGTGACATTTGACGTAAAGTGTCAAATCTAAAAAAATACTTACACAATTTTTCTTTCAAATCACTCATAACACAAATTATGTAATGAAAAGCACTTCATAATACAATTTTTTAAAAAAAAGTAACCTAAAATATCAAAATTTCAATTAATTTTTGTATTTATTTAAATAAATCAATAATACCAACTTATTAATTAAATTGAATTATAATAATTAGTACTAAATAATGATAAAATACAAAAAATATTGTGAAATCAGACTCTAATCGTTATGCAATCTCTTTTTACAGTCTTTATAGGTTCAATCTATATAATGACAGTTAAAAAAAGTCAAATATTACATCAATTTTATACTAAATTTAGAATTCCAACCTAAATATTAAAAAAAAATATATGTGACATTTGACGTAAAGTGTCAAATCCAAAAAATAGTTACACAATCTTTCTTTCAAATCACTCATAACACAAATTACCTAATGAAAATCACTTCATAATACAATTTGTAGAAAACAAAACTTAACCTAAAAAAATTGAAAAGTTAAATTTTCAACTAATTTTTGTATTTATTTAAATAAATCAATAATACCAACTTAAAATATAAATTCAACTTAATAATTATGTTTAATTGTAATAATTAGTACTAAATAATAATATTATAAAAAAAATCGATTATTTTTCAATATTTTCTGAAAATTTTATCAAAATATTAAAAAAAAAACACAAATTAATAACAAATATTTGTTACATTTGTTTTTATAAAAAAAACAAATTTATTATACAAATGATGTTCGATTGATGATCAAAGGATTTATAAATAAATTTTAGTAGGAAAACAAGGTTAAAGTTTATTTATGAAATGAGAGTAATTTAAATCGTAATGATCTCTCGTATTCGTACAATAATAAATTATATAAATATATAAAACGTTGTTTTCGTTCATCAAATCAAATCATCTACGGAAACAGCATTGTTGTTTGATTAGATTAGATCGACTAGACTAACAAAATTTTTAAATACAACAATAATAGTATTATAAAAAAAATGCAAAAATCAGTGCAATAAAAGTTCAAGTATAAATAAAGGAATTGATTTTTAAATTTATTTATGTGTTCAACCTTTTTGCCTACCAATTTTGTTTATTTTTATAGTAAACTTAAGTCAACATCATATTATAAACTTTAAAGTAAATAATAAAAATATTTTTACTTTTTGAAAGAATTTGCAATTTTACTTGCTATTAAAAAAATTTACAGTAAATATTATTTTTTTTTGCTTTAAAAATGTACATTTCACTTATCAAAATTTAAAAAAATTCTAATTTAATATTAAAAAAAAACGTAAATTTTAGAGTGAATTTAAAAATATTTGTGCTTTATTTTTTCTTAAAAAAAAAACTTTGTTTATGAAATTTACAAGTTAATTGTACTGAAATATAATATTATGCAATTAAAATGTACATTTTTTTATTAAAAAAAGTACATTTCGCATGAAAATTACGTTTTTCTAATTTGATAATAAAAACTTTATAGAAAATTTGAAAATATTTTAAGCAAACTTTATATTTTTCTAATAAATTGAAAATCAAATTATGAAATTAAACTTTACATTACATATATTTTTTTATTAATGAAAGTAAATTTCATTTCATATTTTTTTTTTCATATTTTAATCTTTAGTGTAGTTTTTATTCATGGGCATAACACACCTATTAAGTAAAGTAGAGAAATGATAGTCAATCTTCTAGTTTGCATAATGCATGTGGCTGTGGAAGAACAATAAACGGATTTGAATATGCTCTGTATTCATTAAAATTAATGAACAGGTGAATTAATTTGAGTTGTCGGTAATGGAAATTGTATAGAAAACGTGAACGTGTTGAAGCGAAAGGTTGCATTAATATGGAAATAAGTAGAGAGAAAAAAAATATATTTATAAATAAATTTTCATATTTATTAATTAAATAAATATTTATGTAATATTTTAAAAAAATAACAATTTTATAGAATTTTTTTCTAAATTATGAAAAATAAATCTTTGGAAATTCCATTTATATCATCTTGATTACTCACTTATGATGTAGATTTTTTATCCTTTAATGATGAATAATAAACTTCTAATTTCGTTGTAAACTTAATGTAATTGCAAGAGATATTATTCAAACAGCAATTTAACCTAAAATTATTATGAGATATACATAAAGTTGTTATGGTTACTGTAATATTTGCATATAAACAATTGCTATGACATTGCTAAATGACTAAAGCAAATATTTCTATATAAAGTGTACGTAACAACTAAAACTGAAAACAAATATATAATGACGTATAGTAAATATATAACATATTACAAATTAATTTTTAAAAAAATCTATTTTATATAAAAAAAAACGAAATAATTGGAAAATTTGTGATTCTAAACTTAAAACAAGTTTATTACTAAAACTAGACAATACCAGAATTTTGGTATTTTGGAAGGTTTTATCTTTAATTTGCATATTAGATGATCTAATTAACGTACGCGTTTATTCACTAATTAAAAAAACGTCTAGACGAGTTTATGTTTTCTTCGAAAAATTTGTAATAAATTAACATTATGTAACAGTATTTGTATCAAAAGTATAGGAAACAGACACGTACGGACGTTTCTAATGTAATCTTAACACATATTAAGAACTTTACTGTTTTCGAGATATACAGTAAAAATTACATAAAAAATCTTATTAGACTTATGTAAATTGCTCATTTTAGACAGATTATTATAATAATATTGATGATTTATAAGGGTGTAATTAAAGTGTACATTAATATACCTATTTTGTTACTTAATTATCTTTCAAAAACTAGTTAAATCATGAAAAATACAATAAATAAAGAAATACATGTTGACAGGTTAAAAACAAAATTACTTTGTACTGTCAAACGATTTTAATACTCTACCAACTTAAATTATCAGAAAATTTTAAACTTGATTGAAAGAGAAATATGAAATTAAAATATCTATAAGTTGGCATAATGACATAAATAACTATTGTAAGTAAGTAAAATTGGTAATCTAAATTCCCAGTTATAACAAAACATGATTCCAATAAAATCAACCTAACTAACATTTTTTATGTTTTTAAAACTAAAATCGTAAAAGATATAAATAACTAAAAAATTGGTAATACCAACAACTGAAATTCATGAAAATTTTGATAAATAAAAGTTGGAAACACCATTGACAGAAGAAGTCTAAAAGTAAGACTTGTGTCCTATTTCTTTGTCTTCATTATCATATAGTTCTTACAATATTTGTATGTTTACATTTTAGTACTATCAAATGATTGATTATTGCTCTACCAACTTAAATTATCACAAAACATTAAAAGTTGACAGGAAGAAATATGAAAAATTTAAATATCTATAAGTTGGCATTAATGGAATTAACTATTGACACAAATTATTAACTTTGAAACAAACAAAAGCAGAATTAACCTAAATAATGAAAAATGTTTTTAATCTGCTATTACCAACTAGGCACATACAAAAAATAAATAGATAAAAGAGTTGACGTCATGAAAATAACTAAAAAGTATATATTTATACTAGAACCAACTGAAATTTTCATGAACCACATGAAAAATTTGAAAAACCTATAAATTGGAAATACATATAAATAATTACCTTGCCAATTTTACTTAGACCAAAACTAAGTTAAAAACAAAAAATGCTTGTCAATCCAACTACCAACTGAAATCTTGAAAAAATTGAAAAACCTATAAATTGGAAATACATATATGTAAATAAAAATATCATGGAAATTGACAAGTAAATTATACTTTCTTGTTGGCATTACCAATTTTACTTACTTACACCAAAATTAAGTTATAAACAAAAAATACTTGTCGAACCATCTACCAATTGAAATCATGAAAAACCTATAAGATGCGAAAACCATTGACATGTAAAATTGATAATGTAAATTTAAGTTGCCAACTATTAGAAAAAAGGAATGGAAGTGTACACTTTCTTGTTGGCATTGCCAATTTTACTTACTTACACCAAAATTAAGTTATAAATAAAAAACTGAAATCATGAAAAACCTATAAGTTGGGAAAACCATTGACATGTAAAATTAGTAATGCAAATTTAAGTTGCCAACTATTAAAAAAAAAGGAATTTCTTGTTGGCATTACCAATTTTAATTAAACCAAAACTAAGTTATCAACAAAACATCATGTTAAACCAACACCAACCGAAATCAAGAAAAATTTGAAAATCCTATAAATTGGTAATATATATAAATAACTAAAAAAAAATCATGGAAATTGACAAGTGAATTATATACTTTCTTGTTGGCATTACCAATTTTACCAAGACTAAACCTGGCAAACCAACTACCGACTGAAATCATGAAAAACCTATAAGTTGAAGATACCATAGACATGTAAAATTAGTAATGCAAATTTAAGTTGCCAACTATTAAAAAAAAAGGAATTTCCTGTTGGCATTACCAATTTTAATTAAACCAAAACTAAGTTATCAACAAAACATCATGTTAAACCAACACCAACTGACATCTTGAAAAATTTGAAAAACCTATAAATTGGAAATACATATAAATAACTAAAAAAAATCATGGAAATTGACAAGTGAATTATATACTTTCTTGTTGGCATTACCAATTTTACCAAAACTAAGTTATTAACAATAAATACTTGTCAAACCAACTACCAACTGAAATCATGAAAAACCTATAAGTTGAAAATACCATAGACATGTAAAATTAGTAATGCAAATTTCTGTTGCCAACTGTTCAAATAAAAATAAAAAGAATTGATGAGGAAAGGAGTGCAAGGCTCGTCGAACCGGAATGGTGTTACGTAAAAGCGAGTGCGTCTCTCACCAAATATTATGATACTGTTCCTGCATAAACACACGGGTCCATCCGTCCGTACGTGTGTGTTTTTTTCCTACGTCGACTGCGTATTTGAACGAGGACATCGGCAACGTCGCATCATCGTACGACCGGAGAACGGAGCTTGCGCCGTCCCCACGATCCATCTCCTCCCGTGGCTACGTGACTGTTTTCTACCGGTCCTGGTGAGGAGGTGGAGAGGGGTGAAACAGCAGGTTGCCGTTCCTCCGCACCGCACAGAACCAGTCGGACTCAAACATCAGAACGATTCGGCCGCGCGATGGACAGTTAGTGAAGTCGGAAATTAACGCGAAAGCAAAACACACAAAAAACGGTTTTTTTCCTATTCTATTTCTCTCATACTTTAAACACTCACATCCTCAACCGTACATATAAATCCAATAGGATTTTTTTCTATTATACAACCTATTATTTTTTCCAAATCCATTTCGAAACGCAGCAGAATCAATCCTGCGTCCTCCTCTTCCGGCACAACACCAAAAAATTAAAAACTTTTCCACCAGAGAGAAACTTAGAGAAAATAATCCAGTGATTTTTGTAGTGCGCAACTTTTGGATTACCAAAATTTATATTTTTTTATATATAAATTCAATATAATTGCAAACCTCGAATACTTTGGAGAAAATCTATTTTCTCAAAAAACCAACCAAATAATATATATATAAAAAAAACCCTACGTACTTAATCGATTTAATTAATCCGTTGGAGATTAGTTGTTTAAAATCGAATTTATATTCTATCTGCACGTTCGAGGCGAAGCGAAATCATGGTTGAGAGAATTCTAGAAGAATCAGAGAGCATCGATACAGGTAAGAAAGGCTCATCATCCTTTGTTTACATTTCACAAATGTTATCAGATTTCTAAGTAAACACTTCAAGGACAAAGTTTTGAAACTAATTAAATTTAAAGAAACACCCTGTATATGTTGAAAAATGTGACTTTAAAAAACCGGATTCTTAACTAATTCCCAAACTCATCATCGCGTTACAAACAAAAAACCTTAAATAAACATTTAACTTGTTTATCAAATATGTAAATAAACCATAGTTTTTCAAGAATTTTTAGCTCTTGTTATTTAAAAAAAATGTGTCCTACATTGGTCATTAGTCAAATTTGCAGCATTTTAAACAATAATTTTATTACAAATTAAAAATAATATAAATTTATTTCAAGAAACACCCTATATTGTGTATAAATAAGTGTATCTATATTGAAGATTTATTGCTATCTTTAAGATTACTTAAAGTTATTCTTTAAGGAATCTTATCCTTTTCAAGGACTAGTAGTAATAAATAATTTAAAAAACAAGCGTAACTATGGTGATTAATACAGTTGCACCATAGTTACGCTTTTCATTTTTTTTTATTAATTCCAACCTTTCAGTAAATGCAAGATATTTCTTATTAACTTATCTCTCTTTTTGTATATATTTTATACATATTTTTTCAAATACTTAATACTGCACATATTTAGTTAATCTTTTCTTTATTATTTGCTAATCCTTAACCATCACATTATTAAATAGAAGTCCTAAGCAAACCTATTTCTATAACGTTGTACCAATACGAGGGTTTACGTACAAACAAACATACGAAATTGATGCCTAGGGATCGAAGCACCATAGCAACCTTGTTTCCGGTTGCTATGGATTCGTCGGTTCTCAAGGTTGCATGGAAAATTCCGAAGATAAAACTGATGAATAATACAATAGATATATTTTAACGGTCCGTTAACAAAATTAAAAAAAAAACCTTAATCTGTTGAATATAAGACAAAATTATTCAAGTTTGAATGAGTATTCGATTTAACGGTTCATTAAATAAATTGTAAAAAATTATTTTAATATCAATCAATATTGTATGAAAAAGATATAGAAAATAGTTTGATTGAAAATGTATAAATATTTATTTTAACAATCTGTTAAATAAATGTACAGATTACTTAAATATCGATGAGACGATATGGAAAGTTTTGGAAATACAAATTTTAACGATCAGTATTCAATTTAACGGTTCATTAAATAAATTGTAAAAAATATTTTAATATCACTCAATATTGTATGAAAAAGTTATAGAAAATAGTTTGATTGAAAATGTATAAATATTTATTTTAACAATCCGTTAAATAAATGTACAGATTACTTAAATAGACGATATGGAAATACAAATTTTAACGATCAGTTAAATAACAAACTGTTAATAATGTGTAATTTGTGTGTTTGAATGGAAAAATTTTCAGTATTCAATTTAACGGTTCGTTAAATAAATTGAAAAATTATTTTAATGTCAATCAATATTGTATGAAAAAATGATAGAAAATAGTTTGATTGAAAATTTATTTGGGATAAAATTTATAAATATTTATTTTAACAATCCGTTAAGTAAATGTACTTAACTTTAATATCTATTAAGATGATATGGAAAGTTTTGGAAATACTTAACGATCAGTTAAATAATTTAAAAAAAAAATACACGTAAATAACAAACTGTTAATAATATGTAATTTGTGTGTTATTAATTTTGAGTTGTTTTTCTTTCGTTGTTAATTCGAGGTTGAAGAAAGCGAAATTCATAAATAAATGTTGTTCGTCGATTAACGCTTAGACGCCGCCATTAAGTTTCTAATCCTTTAGAAAAAGTGTTCTTCGGCTTGAGTATTGCAATTAATTTTGTTGTTATCATACTTGGATTTATTCTCAAGTGCTGTTATTTATTTATATGTTGTAGATTTAGATTTGGTATCAATTGAAAAAAGTGGTATTTCCATCGACCCACTAAAGTTATCTTTACAGATAAATACTGTTATTTAGATTAGAATATCTAATACCCACCATGATGAAATTGGAGACAATTATTTGCACTTTCTGATTTAAGTTAAATATTTAAGTTTTCTTAACTCACTGTTGTCGTTGTAAAACAAATTAGTTTTAATCAAACATTTGATTAACATTTATAAAAAAAATGTCTTCAATTTTGTAGACAAACATGTTGCAAATTACCTAATTATGAATGAAATTACATGAAAACAACACATTCTCTTTTTTTTCCATGAAGGATATACAACAATTGTAATGTTTATTTAAAGAGAGGATATTTGAGAGAGTGTACAGCATATCTTAATAATGCCCATATGCGCGCAGTTAAGACAATAATGAGACTTAAGTTGGGTACTTAAAGTATGCTCACAAAGAAGCAGATGATGGTTTCTTAATAGCCCCGGGTCCGTTTTATATTCATTACATTCTGCTCAGTTCTGTCTTTTTTTTGTCGTTTTTTTGCTGCTGTTTTATTTACATTTCTTTTAATATCTTTTCATAAACGTGCAGCTCGAAAATGAACGTTTATTAAGAAAAAATGAATTAAATTTAAGAAGTAATTACGGACTTGATGAGCTTTTATTAAACTTTTTTTAGGTAGCTTTTTTAATTTTCTTTTTAATTATCATTTAGATTAATTTCTTTAAAAAGTCTATAGTTTACTAATTAATTAATTACAATTATTTATTTTGAGAAATTATTTCCAAAATTATTGAAAACTAATTATAATTGTTAATTCTTATTTTTTTTTTGTTGAAGGAAATTAATGTAATTTTTATAAAGTTTAACTGTTAATTGCAATTTTTTTTCTCTGTAACTTTTAAAATTTTTGTATATTTTTCAAACTGAATGCAAAACTTGTGTATATTTGCTTTTAACTCCATATGTTCATATCTGTACACACTTTGGTTTTATATATATATTTGCAAAAAGATAAACAAATCGAACGTCGAAACAAAAACAAATATTGTTTTTATATGAAAATATTCACACGATTTTTTTTTGCTTTTTGAAAATATCAACAAATAAATAAAATGATAATTAAATTAAGTTTTTTTTTAAATTAAACTAAACTTTAAATTTATGAAAAGGTCAACTTGTTATAAAAGATGGATTATAGAAATTTGAATGATATAGAAAAAAAAGATAATACTTGATCTTGTTATGGGTTAAACTAAGCTTTAAAATCGGATTTGTGTTTTGTGTAATCCAATTTTGGGATTAAGGAAGAAAAGGTGGTTCAGCAAGAGTGGACTTTAATAAAATACGTTCGTACACAATGTGAACGCTCGAAAGTTTATGTGGATTTTGGTGTTTACATAAATATTAACAACCCTAGGATTAAATTTAATCCGAAATTTCTAATGGCGAAGTTTGTAAAAAGTTTGCGAGTTAAAAATCGTTACAAAAATCTAAATGTGATGAATTGGATCAACGTTTCTCAAGTGGTATTGTGACACAATTGTTCACACTTTGACGTAAGGTGACAGCTGTCATTTTGTGTCCCAATAAAAATTAATTTCAAAGGTTAGAATTAGTGATCTGTTTAATTATGAGGAGTTGGTTGAACTGAAAATTGTTGATTCATTCTCTTAGCAACCAAAAGAAGATTTCAATACCAACCATTATTTATAGTAAAAATAAACTCCCAATGTCACGTTTTTTCTAGTTGTCAATTTAGTATTAGATTAAATCTGAAAAATTTAAAATGTAAGTTTGTAAAACACAGAAATCCTTAAATCGAGGGATTATTTAAGTATTTTGTAAGATTTTTTTAAAGTTTATTATGAAAAAAATGATATTAGATTGGAATTTGGTGGAATTATCAATTGTCCATTTTGTCACTAAAATTATTGTTAATTTTCTTAATTAATTAAATTTTTTCGAAAAACAACGTAATTTATTGGATTTATTTAGATAAAAAACGTGAAAAGTTCACCCGATCCACCAATTGTTTGTAACAAAACTTTGTTGACTTAAGGTGACAGCTGTCATTAAATTGAATTGAACGCTACTCAACATTGGGGCAATTTGTATTTACTAAAAGATTTGATGGATTTATTAAGAATATAAGTGTATTAAACAGTTTGGATGTTGATAATTAAATGATGGTTTTTCTTGACAAAGAAAAACGTGCAAAGTTAACACGATTCGTCAATTGTTTATAACAAAAAACATTGTTGACACTTTGACGTAAGGTGACAGCTGTCATTTTGTAACCCATTAACTTGAATTGAACGCTACCCAATATTGGGGTAATTTGTATATACTAAAAGATTTGATGGATTTATTAAGATTATAAATGTATTATACAATTTTGATCATGATAATTAAATGTTGAAGTTGCGAACTTCATGTGATGATTGTTTTTACGTTGTTTCTTTTCTTTACATAGAAAAATGATCAAAGTATGCGCAAATTGTTTATAACAGACATTTTGACGTAAGGTGACAGCTTTCACCTTAGATTGGGGTAATTTGATGGATTTATTATGATTATAAATGTATTATTCAGTTTTAATGATGATAATTAAATAATGAAGTTTTGAACTTCATGTGATGATGTGAAGAAACACGTGAAATGTTAACCCGATTTGTCAATTGTTTATAAAAAAAACATTGTTGACACTTTGACGTAAGGTGACAGCTTGCCTTTTTTTAATACTAATACAACTGTAATTTGTATATACTAAAAGATTTGATGGATTTATTAAGAATATAAGTATTATACAGTTTTGACGATGATAATTAAATGATGAAATTTTGAACTTCATGTGATGATTGCTTTTACGTTGTTTCTTTTCCTGACAAAGAAAAACGTGCAAAGGTAACCCGATCCGCCCTGGTCGTTCGTGATCAGCTGTTGCCCCAGCAACAGTTGATGCCAACAACCAAGACGAGACGTTAGCGTTTCGTTTCTTCTCGCCTCAAGAAGCATTCGCAGTCCTGTTGTTTGTTTCTTTCTTCTCCGGTAAACGTGATTTGTTCGCATTG